AGAGGGCGGCGGCCAGGTCCTCAATCGCGCCAGCCATCAGTCAAGGGGGAAAGGAAATGATAAAAGAAAAAATATAGTTGGGCCACCCGGTGGGAATTAGTCTAGACGCATATACAGGGAAGGAGGGTGTAGAATTTGGGAAGGGATCTTTCTTGAGAGGTAGGCATTGGGAGGAGGAGGGAAAAGAAGAAGTGGGCGAATCGCAGTAGGTCGTCCCCACACAACCCCTGACATCATGACACAACACCACTGGGAAACCATCCGAATCCAGCGCCGTCTCCCTGTCTCGTTTCCGCGCAGACTTTGTGGAACCGCCGCGGCCCGGTCCATGCGTCGACCACACAACGCCAATCCGCGAACGGGGGGGATTCTTTTTTCGTTTAATTTCAGGACGATTCCAAATACAATCGGGACCGCGTACAAATCCAAAAAAAACAGGAAAATAAGATCAGGGCCTCGTGAGGGGGTGAACTATTCAAAATAACTATAAACTATACACTATGATCTACCCAACACTACGCCCCCAAATAGGAAAGCAACGAATCCGGGAGTACATATGCCAAGGAGGACCCTTCGAGGCCCCCGCCATCGGTTGTTGGAGTTTCATTTCGCCCTTCCTCAGGGCTGCGCCGCATCGTCGACGGCCATTCCGCCCCGGCGCCCTCGGACGACGACGACGACGACGAAAAGCCATCGTGGCCGGGGGTGAGAACAATCAACGCCGTCGTATTCGTGAGTTCGCGGTACTCGAGTCCGGTCAAAGGGTCGAAAGCGTCGTCCTCGGTGCTGGGATTGCAGCTCCCTGCCTGTTCTTCAGGTCCCTGCATCCCAAAACTAAAATAATGATATATATATATATATATAGATATAGATATATATATGTATATCTATATAGATATAGATATCTATAGATGTAAACTAATACGCTGAATTCAATGTCGCTGAGATAGAAAAACTTCCCCTGACGTTACTGCACAAGCAGGGGTAATACGCCGCATCCTGGACAAATTTCGGTTTGGAAAGAGAAAGGATAGATTAGAGCGCATTCCGAAGAATTTTAATCGCCATTGAAAAGCATCCCACAGACGAAGAAGAAAAAAAAACACTGTTTTAAGTCCGAGCCTTTACTAAACATTAATTAAAGGAAAATTAGCAACTTAAAGTACCTGTGTTTTACATTAAATTCACCCCCAGCAAGGCAAACACCATTTTGACTCCTTACCAGTTTTGCTTAAAACTTAAAATCGTGTATAAGCCTAATATAGGATGCAGATGCCGGCTATTGTTTCTTCCACAAATGAGAGTTGCATTCTGAATTTATAGCAATAAAATATAAAGCAATAACAACGTCGTGGAAGAATTCAAGTTGTCTATACATTGACGGGGTATCTGAATCGGATGCCCCGTTCTTCACATTGTCGAGAAGTTATATAAATTCCGTTCCTTCCCTATCATTTGTATTTATTTATTTTTTATCGCTGCAGTACGTGTCCCCTCGAAAAAAAAAAAGTAGTTCAATACATATATTTATGCAAACACATATATAGATATATTTTTTATTATTTACCTTAAAAAAATCAAAAATCAAAATTAAACGAGAAATCACTACAACATTAAAGGGAAAAAAGCAGCCTGGCATCGCTGTAAAAAAAAATTTGCACTAAAACAGGGGGTAGGAGAAAAAGCAAAAACAAAACAAAAACAAAGCATTAGCTAAAAAAGAAATTAACTTATCTCTAAAAAAATTAAAAGCACAGAGAAAACCTGATATGTATATTTGGATATATATACGTATTGATCACATATCATGCTTTCATGCGAATTGAACTGGTAGGAGATATGATATCCAAATTCAAAGTAAACCCATTAATGAAGAAAGAAAAACAAATAGATATGCTTATCTATCCACTATATATTATTCCCATTAACTTTATGAAGGCACGACTTGATCATAGATCGTCACGGCGGTCCCGAAGACCACCGCGATCACCCCCCCGACCAGCAGGATTGTGCAGCCCAGTAAGTTCAGCAGGAATCTCCGCCTCCCTAAACGCTTTAACGTAAACCCCCCGGTGTAAAGGTAGAAATAGGCGGGCAATAAAAACCCCAGCACCCCTCCGCAGATCCCGCCCAGGAAGGAAAAGACCGTGCTGATATCCGGGATAAACAACCCACAGACGAGGGCCGTGATGGACAGCCCCACACTCACCAGGATGTTCACCCACGTCCGGACATCGCTGGTTTTCCCAAGCCCCAGGCTGTAGTAAATCGCATCGCGAGAGGGCTGAATGCAAATGGCAAAGCCCACACAGACCTTAATGCAAATACCGATATAGGCGATCATAAAAAGCGCATTCCCCGCCGGGTTGTACATGAGCAGAAGCGACCCTTTCACCTTCGCGCCGAAATCGCAATAGCCGAAGAAGCCCGAGATGAAGTTCAGGACCGCCACGAGAATCATGCTGATGGCGCTATCCCGGGTCATGCGGTTGACCGTCGGGTCCACCATCTCCTCGTAGATCTCGAAGGCGTTGACCTGGCAAATAAACGAGAAGATAAACAAATTCAACCCCTGAATGGCGCCCATGCCGCTATTGGACAAGTTAAGATCCTTAAAGGCCGGTTTGTTGGAGTTCTGGATGTAGTGAATGACCACACAAAGGACGAAAAACATGATGCTCATCACCCCAATAAAGGACATGTACCGCAGGGAGTTAATTTGCTTCGGCAGCGAGGGCGGAAGCATCAAAAGAAGCCAAATCAACGATGTAAAAAGCAGGACTTTGATCCCGGTTCGCGGGTACTCGGGCTGGCCTTCCTTCTGAAACATCACGAAGACGATATCCGCGATGGATATCACGTAGCCCACGCAGACGCCCCAGCAGAACATAAACATGAGGAAAGCCGTCAGGTAATCCCAGCCTCGGCCCAAGAGCGACCGCGCGAGCTCCTCGTAGGAGCGCAGCCCCGTCAACTCCTTGGCCTGGACCAACAACCGAAGGGAGTAAATCGTGCAGGCGCAGACCACCGCCAGCAGGATCGCCGAGACGAGGATGCCGGAGTTGGCAAACCCCCCAGGGACGGTCACGATGCCCGCGCCGAGGGTGGCGCTGGCCAAGGTATAAACATTCGCGATAAACCCGCCATGCCCGATCACCCGCAGGATGGGGCGGAGGCAGGGGCAAAAGCAGATATCCGCCAACTCGTCGTGCTGCGCCGGCGGCGTGGCCGCGCGGTCGCCCGGGCCCAGCGGCGTGCGATCGGAATCCAGCGGCGAGGCGTATGGATTGGCCCCTTTCAGCCCCTCCAGCCGCGGCCCCCCAGGGGCATGGGTGGGGGTCGGAGGGTTCACCGTTTCGGACGTCATGCTACAGTGAGGGGTTGGAATTGATGGATTAAACGAACTCGTGTGCTTTGGTGATTAGCAAGATTACTGGTAAGAAATGGCCCAGAAATTTAAAAAAAAAGGGAAAGAAAAGAAAAGGAAAGGAAAGGGATGGATAGGGGGAGTTCAATGTCTGGATGACGCCAAAAGGGGTCGTCCCGTCCCTAATTGGGTCGTTGTTATACATATATAGAGAGAAAGAGATAGATTTATACCCTACCATCGCATAGGTGGGGTTTGGCGAACCCCCTCGGTAATACACAAAAATAAATAGAATTCAACAACCTTCCCCCAACGTGAAGCCTTTCGCCCTGGCCGTAGGGGCCGCCCTAGTCATCCAGGATATCCTTCGCCAGCCGCCATCCCCACGGGTTCTCCGGGCAAGGATAGGGTGGGGGAAGGGGCACCCCCTGGCGCCGCCGCTCCGCGTCCTCGGCCGCGTGGCGGAGGGCCTGCTGGACCACCTTCGAGCCCGTCCCCCAAAACAACAACGGCCGGTCCGGAATATCCCACGCCTGGCCGAGCAAAGCGGGCTGAAAAGCCCGCCGATGGGGCGCGAAAGGATCCCCGCGCGTCGTCTCGGCGGCCTCGCGGAGGCCCTTCCAGGCCTGGACGTCGGCCGCCGACGTGTACGACATGCCCTCGGGAAGGGGCAGCAAAGGAGGGCGCTCCGCCTCCTCCATCGCGTCGAGCCAGGCGACCTCCGACAGGACGTCGCGCTCCAACACCCCCAACAATCGCCGGGCCACCGCCTCTTTTTGCTCGCAAAGCTGCCTTTTGGCCTCCTCGGATCGCCGAGGGCCGCCGAAGCTCTTCTCGATCACCCGCGCGACCGTCTGGGCGCGTTTGGCGATCCCGCTCAGGGGGGAAACGGGGCCGGCCCGGGGTTTGGCCCGGTACTCGGCAATCACCCGCGAAGTGATCGCCTGCAGCCGTTCAAAGATCGCGGCGGCCTCGGGGTCCACGGCGAAGAGGTTCGCCGAGGACGCCGCCTGCGAAGCCGGAGTTTCTTCGTCCGATGACCCCCCTGCCCCCTCAGGGGCCATCGCCGCCTTGCGCGCCTGCAGTTGGCGATAAAGCGCCCGACATTCTGCGGCCTCGGGGAGCGCCTCGACCCCGGCAAACCGCCGGGCGTTCTCGCGGGCCTGCAGGATCTGCCGCTCGAGCTGAAGATAGGCCACGTAGCGCAGGCGTTTCTCGTGTAAACCCTCCAGCCGGGGGTCGTCCGGCCGGAGGAACATCTTCGACACCAGGCGCTCCACGTCGTCGGTGGCGGCCTGGGCCGCGAGTTGGCTGCGATTCAGGGCCTCAGCGTGGCCGGAGGCGCCCTCGCGGCGGGCCGTGGGGGGGGCGGCGGGAATCGCGTCCTTTGCGGGGTCGCCCGCCGCCGTTTCCGCCGTTTCCGCCCCTTCCACCTCCGCAATTGCGGAATCCCCGCCGGCGGTTCGCCGCGCCAGCGCCGCCTGGTCGGCCTGCTGGATCGCCCGCAGTCGTTGGTACTCCGGGGTGTGTTGGAGCGGCAGCAAAAGGGCCTTTTCATACCACCGCTTGGCCCACTCCACCGGGTGGGCCTCCGCCTTGGCGGCCATAAACTGCACCACCTCCAGCGTGCTGAGCGTCTGGGGGTCCGCGGAATAGAGTTTGCGCAGGCTTTCCGTGTAGGCCTCGAGGCCTTCGTCCCCCGGGGCGTGGCGAAACCCTTCCCCGAGCGTCAGCCGCGCGAAGACCTCGCAGAACCGCAAGAACTGCTCCTGCGCCTCCAACTCCGCGAGCAGGGCCGCCATCACCTCCACCTCGAGCCCCAGCGCCTTCCCGACCGAGGCCGTCAGCCGCGCCCGGCGCTGGGCCGGCGAGGACGACGGCTTCGAGGCCGGGGCCCCAGAAAGGCCCCGCGCCTTTCGCGCCGCCAGCCGCTCCCGGAGTTGATGGAGCGTCCGGAGCTCGGCCTGGGACTCCGCCAGGGCGAGGCCCCGGAGCTTCACCTGCGCGTACTTGCACAAATCCGCCAGGTGCCGCTGGGTCGCCAAATTCAACTCGGCCGTTCGGTTCGCCAGGCGGCGGCGCTCCGACTCGGTGCTCAGCCCCTCGCGCTTTTTGCGCACAAAGTCGGCGAAAAGCTGCTTGGTGTGGATCATCGCGTCCTCCAGCTGCTCCACCTTGTCGGGATCGAAGAGCGAGGCGTCCCCGGCCTCGTAAATCGCCTGCGAAAGCCCCATCCCGCGCTGGGGATCTTTGAGCTGAACGGGCAACCCCATCTTGACCCGCTCATACACATCGCGGACGGTGCGATGGGGGTCTAAATCGCGGGGATCGTGCAGGGTCGTCTCG